GAGTTATGCTGGGGGAAAGCAGCTGTGACGAATGGACGGGCTGGAGTGCTGGCTGTGTATCAACAGCGGTATGGCGTAGGGAGTTGCTTAGTGCTTACCGAAAATCGTGAGGAGGTTAGATGGCATGGGATAGAGCTGTTGAGCGGTTTTAAATACGGCATAGGCCGTAGAGCGATTGTATTGGTGGCTTACTTATCATTAGCTTGCTGGTTAATTTCCATGAAGGGGATTTGTACCTTTGGCTTTTAACATATAATCCCTTAGTCTACTCTGCCCTTTAGCAGGCTTACGCACGGAAAGGAGGATGAAATATATATACCGGTCTTTGGCAATGCTGGCCTCTGGCATTCTTCTTCTTCTTTGCAGGGTGTCCACTCGGAGTGGACTTAAAGCCGCAGGTCTGCCAGATGGATGACCGTTGGGCCTGGCCGCCTGAGAGCTTATAGCTTGGGGTTTTCAGCTTCTTTGTAATTTGTATATGAAGTTAATTGCTGCCATTTAGTCATTTTAGTGAGGTTGGCTGATGTAAGCTCAGTGCAGGATTGGGTAGAAGTTTACAGGGAACATATATTAGTAAATGAAATGAGTTACTGCTAATGTAATTTAGATAAGTAAGGGCTGCTAATATAACAGCCTTCATGAAACAAAAAAAAATAATAATAATAACAATAATAATAGAAATATATAAATAAAAATAATAATATTGAAAAAAAACCTAGATGATCTACTTGCTAAATCAAAACATATATCAGCAGTAGCCATGCATTAACAATTCTATCATGCTTCCATATATACAGCTTTGCAAGGCGCTCATCTAAAGGGCCTCTGGCATGCATCCCGTCTCCGATACCGACAGGCGTCCCGGCTAACCCAATTGAAAAACACTAAATCACGGAATTGTTCAGGTAACAAGACCCTGGGTCGTGCAGCATATAACATGTATAAAAAACAATTGCCAATTTGGGGAAAATCAGTAACCCATAAGCAGGATCTTTGGACTTGTTGATTTGTAAATATTTGTGTAATTTATAGTAAAAAATTTCTGCATAGTACATCGAGAGACAACTGCTATCGTAGAGTGAATAATATTTTCACTATTATTAATGTGAATCATGATTTTCAAACGCTGATTTGCAGACTGCTGTTAAATTGAATTACCTATTGTAATTTTTATACTTTTCTTTGTTCATGCAAAGAAAAATGCATTGTCTAAAGCAAATTGGCGAGATGCTAATGCATTGATATACATAAGTAGCCATTTCCAATATAATACTAAATTAAGACATTATACATATTATTAAATAAATACGAACTAATTAAAATAGTATATTACTTATATTACCAAGTGGCCTTTGATTTTTCCAAAGCATTTATTTGCATTCAAGTCTTGAATCTCATGAACAAGCTGAATGTCACGTCTCAGCCAAATTTACGGCCAGACTTGCGGCCGGTCTCGCGGCAAATCTCCCAATTCAGTGAGCAAGGAATATCTCCCAAAGTAATGAACGTAGCTCGATGAAACACGTCTCGAACAAAAATCACCGTAAGGCCATAATGAATATGTGTACCAAGTTTCATCGAGCTACGTTTAGTACTTTTGGAGATATTCCAGGTACACTGAATTTGGACACCGGCCGGGACCCGCGAGTCCGGCCGCGAGACCGGCCGCAAGTCCGGCCGTAAATTTGTCCGAAACGTGTCTCGCGGCCGGACTCGCGGCCGATGTCCAAATTCAGTGTACCTGGAATATCTCCCAAAGTACTTAACGTAGCTCGATGAAACTTGGTACACATATTCATTATGGCTTTACGGGGATGTCAAGCTCGTGACAATTTTTTCAATATCGCCTTCATTCGTGAGTTAAATGACGAAACGTGCCGAAATTTGCAGTATACCGGCCATTTCTTCCAGAGAACTGAACAGATCTGAATGAAATTTTGAATATGAATTTCTGAATACTAAGCGGTGATGTTTAGCTCGTGAAAATTTTTTACGTTTTGCCTTCGTTGGCGAGTATTTTTCTCTTTCCCCTCATTCGTGATTTAAACAGCAAAATAGTGCTTAAATTCGCAGTGTACCAGAGATTTCATCTAAAATGCTGAACAGATTCGAACGAAACTTAGAAACCTAACCTCCTAACTGTGATGTTTAGCTCGTGACAATTTTTTCGATTTTGCCTTCGTTTGCGAGTTATAGGGATATACGGAGAAACGACCGGCATTTCTCAGGCCAATTTTTGAACTTGCATTGACCAAGAGCCATATATGTAAAGCCGTATAACTCGCAAACGAAGGCAAAATAAAAAAAATTGTCACGAGCTAAACATCACCGTTGGGAGGTTAGGTTTCTATATGCAAAGTTTCGTTCGAATCTGTCCAGTATTTTAGAAGAAATCTCTGGTACACTGCGAATTTAAGCACTATTTTGCTGTTTAAATCACGAATGAGGGAAAAGAGAAAAATATTCGCCAACGAAGGCAAAACGTTAAAAAATTTCACAAGCTAAACATCACCGTTTAGTATACAGAAATTCATATCCAAAATTTCATTCAGATCTGTTCAGTACTCTGGAAGAAATGGCCGGTACACTGCAAATTTAGGCACGTTTCGTCATATAACTCCCGAATGAAGGCGATATTAAAAAATTGTCACGTGCTTGTCATCACCGTTAGGCCATAATGAATAAGTGTACCAATTTTCATCAAGATACGTTCAGTACTTGGGAAGATATTCCAGGTGCAATGACGGCCGCGAGTCCGGCCGCGAGACCGGCCGCAAGACCGGCCGTAAATTTGTCCGAGACGTCCGCGAGACCGGCCGCAAGTCCGGCCGTAAATTTATCCAAAACGTCTATGAAACTTGGTACACGCACTCATTAGGACCTAACTGTGATGTTTAGCCCGTGGAAATTTTTGGAATTTCACCTTCATTCGTGAGTTATATGGCGATACGTGCCGAAATTCGCAGTGAGCAAGAAATTTCTTCTAAACTACTATACAGATTTGAACGAAATTTTGAATATACAAACCTAACCTCCCAACTGTGATGTTGAGCTCGTGACAATTTTTTAGATTTTGCCTTCGTTTGCGAGTTATTTATATTATTTTTCCCACATTCGTGATTTGAACAACAGTACGTGCTTAAATTCGCAGTGAGCAAGAAATTTCTCCTAAAGTATAGAAATGAACAGCGGTAGGGAGTTCCGTTTAACCATTGAAGCAAGAAGTTTATTGTGCCGAGCTACCCTGACAGCAACCGGCTTCGGCTGGCTGCCACGTCATCTTTCTCGAACTATGAAAATGCCATAGATCATGATAGATGCTATGCCGTGCTGCCCCGCTCCAAGGCATTGTGCCGGCGAAGGGTACTACCAGCTGAAGATTAACCCTTGAACACCTATCAATACTCCTAGCATCTCATTGCAAAATTCTGAAATTACTCACGAACAAGTTCTTTGGACATCACCTAGTTGTGACTGGCTTCACCGGCTGTACTGTGCGGAGCCGTTGTAGCGCGTTGGCGAATTCCTACAGGGGTAAAAATATCACGTTACGAAGATTTTAAGATGCCTCCATGTGTGGTTAGTGCTCCCAGGTGAGTGGTTAGTAACCCCAGATGAGTGGTTAGTGCCCCCAGGAGAGTTTTTAGTGCCCCCAGGTGAGTGGTTAGTGCCCCCAGGTGAGTGGTTAGTGCCCCCAGGTGAGTGGTTAGTGCCCCCAGGTGAGTGGTTAGTGCCCCCAGGTGAGTGGTTAGTGTCCACAGGTGAGTGGTTAGTGTCCCCAGGTACCTGGCCCTGGTGAGGGACTTTCTGCCCTGGAGTGGGACTTTCTGCCCTGGAGTGGGACTCTCTGCCCTGGAGTGGGACTTTCTGCCCTGGAGTGGGACTTTCTGCCCTGGAGTGGGATTTTCTGCCCTGGAGTGGGACTTTCTGCCCTGGAGTGGGACTCTCTGCCCTGGAGTGGGACTCTCTGCCCTGGAGTGGGACTCTCTGCCCTGGAGTGGGACTCTCTGCCCTGGTGTGGGACCCTCTGCATTGGCGTGGTGCTGTCCGCCCTGGTGTGGTCTCCACTTAGGCGGCCCCGTTCTGTAGCCCTTCAGCCTTTGAGAAATCTTTAACATCTCTTCAAGACACACAAGTTTGTACCTGAAAACAAAATTCAGTTAAATTCCTTAAACTGTCCTGTCATAAGGCCGCATTGAACTAGTCCTCAGAGGCTCCCATAAATTCCAACAAAAGAAAAGATCGGCGGTAGCTTATATATGTATGTATACGTACGCACGTACGGTGAAAGAACAGAGATCCGAGCTTCGTCTCCTGGAATGCAGTTACTCGTATTAAACTTCACTGTTCTTGTGACATTGGTGCGGAAGTTGTCAAAAATGACACGAACAAATCTTTCGACAGCAATTAGGCTTTTCATAAAAATATTTGTGAGATGGTTTTTCCGAGGAAATGGGATTCAATTTTATCTATAACATTGATGATAAACTTAGTGTGAATGATAAGTTGGAGAGTTACCTGAGCACTAGGAAATCCGTGTTATTGAGGGACGCAAGTTTGACTGACCAAGGGAAGATGGAGCAAGGCTTTTGTGTCCGAGATAACTTATTCGGTCGCACGCTCAACTTTGTCGGTATGACAGAAATGTTTTACAGTCGTTTGGCAAATTGTGCAGCTCGGGTAACAATCTCCAGATAGACAAAAATCGGTAAGAAGCCATTGGGATCGTAACGAAAACAGGAATGAGAGTAGAATTTCAGACGCATTGCTCCAGCTAATGGAGAGATTTTTAATTGCTTCGCGGAACGTTAATTTGGCAAGCCATTTGGGCAGCAAATATGCTCAAAGTATTAAAATTTTGTGAAAACATTGACTTAGTTAGGGTCACCAATGGAAAAGAATTCGAAATGTATTCGAGTAACAGGCGCACCATTTCATAACTAAGGAAGACTATTTTATTCTAATTTAACAGTCTTCTAGTACTATTTGTTCTCTGTTGTTTACATTTCCTTCACCTCGTTTGTAGTTGTATATTTTTTGATGTGGGTTTCGAATGGCGAGGCGAGGGATGGCTCCTTGCGTCCTGGCGGGGGATGGCTCCTTGCGTCCTGGCGAGGGATGGCTCCTCGCGTCCTGGCGGGGGATGGCTCCTCGCGTCCTGGGGAGGGATGGCTCCTTGCGTCCTGGCGGGGGATGGCTCCTCGCGTCCTGGCGAGGGATGGCTCCTTGCGTCCTGGCGGGGGATGGCTCCTCGCGTCCTGGCGAGGGATGGCTCCTCGCGTCCTGGCGGGGGATGGCTCCTCGCGTCCTGGCGAGGGATGGCTCCTTGCGTCCTGGCGGGGGATGGCTCCTCGCGTCCTGGGGGGGGATGGCTCCTTGCGTTCTGGCGGGGGATGGCTCCTCGCGTCCTGCCGAGGGATGGCTCCTCGCGTCCTGGCGGGGGATGGCTCCTCGCGTCCTGGGGAGGGATGGCTCCTTGCGTTCTGGCGAGGGATGGCTCCTCGCGTCCTGCCGAGGGATGGCTCCTCGCGTCCTGGCGGGGGATGGCTCCTCGCGTCCTGGCGAGGGATGGCTCCTTGCGTCCTGGCGGGGGATGGCTCCTCGCGTCCTGGCGGGGGATGGCTCCTTGCGTTCTGGCGGGGGATGGCTCCTCGCGTCCTGCCGAGGGATGGCTCCTCGCGTCCTGGCGAGTGATGGCTCATGCGTGTGTTGGCAGGAGCATGCGACCGAACAACACTAAAATTGGCTTCATTTTACACTTCACTTAACTGAGTAATAACTTCCAATAGCAAATACATGAAACAAATTATCAAAAATTTAAAAGCAAAAAAAAAAAAACTTTTACTATTTCTTATACGAGAAAAAGTTTAAGAGTCCAGCTAAAAAGTTTAAGAGTCCAGAAGATATTAAAACATAAATAGTCAAATGAAAGCAAATAAGAATGAGGTAAACATGAGCAGACAAACCTATCTTTCTACAGTTTCGAGGGGATATTAACTGTAAGCGACATTTAAACTATGCTTTTATTTACAAATATACAGGGACTCCAAAATTCGCAGGTCAGAAAAACCGGTTGTGGAGGATAAAACTCTAAAATCCCTATCAGACACCGGGACGTTGCAGATCTTGGCATGAACGCGTACTGCTGAATGAGGCATATGATGGGGATGCGCAAGCAGGTTTTCTATTTTTAAACTCCTTCCTTTATGTTCCGCCAGCCTAGTTTAAAAATTGCGTGATGTCATACCGACATACGCAGATGCGCACTGCTCACATGATTTGGATGTGCTACTTGGTAATTGTGAGCGCAATGTGAACGCCTAATAAAATCAAGGTGATTGCTTTGCGTCTTTCTGTTGCTTTATAATCGCCTATCGAGGACAAATTCAGTTGGGCAGTTTGACTAGGGCGATACATCTGTCAAACAATAACACAGGTGTCCCAAGATCAGCTCAGTGCGAACAGAATTCTCATGAAGAGCTTAAGGGCCTAAGGTGTCTTGTTCCCGACTCTCAGTAAGAGTATGGACGGTGAAAAACAGGCCTCACGATCCTTTTGTTGTTATAGTGAGTTTCTAGCAAAAGGTTTCAGAAAAGTTACAACAGGAATAACTGGCTTGTGGTGGCCGAGCGTCCTTAGCGACATCTTTTTTCAATCCTTCGATGTCGGCTCTTTCTACCGCTGAGTTGAGATTGGCTCATATAGAGTGGGATATTGTGTTCATCCTCGTGAGCAGGGAACGTTAACAGTGTTTATACTCACGATCATCAATGTTACTGTTAATGGTAATGTTAATGTTATTGTTAATGTTACTGGTAATGTTAATGTTAATGCTAATATTAATGCTAATGTTAGTTTTAATGTTAATGCCAATGTTAATATATATAGCGGTTTCAGCGTTCATGAGGCCGTAAGCCCGTCGCCAATTCTTAACATCGCAGAACATTCAAAGCTTGTTGAGGGCTTGAACTCGCAACTCACGTCTTCAATTTTGCTTATGCCTAACCGCCCGGCTTTCTCGCCGATTCTGACCAGAAACTGGCGCACAGAGCTGGGATCGAACCCACGCCTCTCTGCTCCAATCTTGGTACTCTGAACTGTAACCACTGGGCCACTGAACTTAATGTTTATGTTAGTGTTAATGTTACTGTTAATGCTAATGTTAATGCTAATGTTAATATTAATGTGTTGTTGATGTTAATGTTTATGTTATTGTTAATGTTTCACTTTAAAGCGGGAAAAAGTCTGTTATAATTCCAAGAGTATCAGTTAAGCCGTTTTCGCAGTAGAATTAGAATTTATAACTTATTAAATACACCTCAAAAATTCTCCTAAGCCTAGAAATTTATTCACTTTAATGCGCTAAGACGCCAGTTAAAATTTCACGAGTACCAATTCTGCCGTTTCTAAAGTAGAATTAGTATTACTTTTTAAATTCAACTCGAAAGTTCTCCCAAACCTATAGAAATTTATTAATTTTAAAACGGCAAGAACCCTGTTTTAATTTCGCTAGTTTCAGTTCGTCCGTTTCTAAAATAGAATTAGTATTCATAACTTTTTAAAGTTAACTCAAATGTTCTCCCAAACCTTGAAATTTATTCACGTTGAATCGGCAAAAAGTCTGTTATAATTTCACGAATATCAGTTGAGCCGTTTCTAAAATGGAATGAGTATTCATAACTTTTTAATTCAAGTCGAAAATTTCCTCTAACCTAGAAATTTATTCACTGGAAAGAGATAAAAAATTTGTCTGGCGGCATCACTTTCGGTCTCTCCCTTTGCTCTGGCGGGCTCACCGCTTGGACACGTTTCGAAATCTTTCCGAAGCCTTTAGTGGAGTTGAAAAGTCGACATAGTGAAATTTTCTCTTGACCGGCGTCCCTCTTTCCCAGATCAGGCCGATACAAATTTCGGTTCACTTGAATATCTCCTAGCTTACGGGATCTCCCTCGCTGTAACGCGGAACTCTCTATCATTTTCACAAAACTTGTTTCATCGTACCGCTACTTAAACACGTGTTACGTTCTCACCTCGAGCCCATACTTTCACTGCCCCATTGGTCTACCCTACTCACGAATTCGTTGACGTACACCCACACGTCACTCCCAGCACTAACTCACTCTCGTTGGTAATCTCTTCGCACCCACTTCCCAACATAACCTCCGAGCGGGTTACCAACCTCAGTTACTAGCTCTCGTCTTACTCCTAATATAATATCGAATAGAATGATAATTTATTTATTTTTCTACATGAACATAGCACAAGCTGTGAACGAATTTGTTTATAACAAATAGCAATCGAATAAGGTGCTGGGAGAGCGATTATATCAAGTGCCGCCCCACATTTCATCGCTTCTGTGATTCCATGATGTGATGAAATTCACCTAAGTCAGCCATATCGTCAGCGAAGAGCATCTCAAACCCAACAACGTACATTTCTTCTCTGGGATGAACAGTAATTTGAAGTTTCTAAATGTTTCACATTTTTCGCCTTCTCACAAGTAGTGAACTGATTATTTTTCATTCATTCGAGGCCGCCTCGTGAAGCATCAAAATTTTTCATTATTACTTCTAACCAAACCAACCCTTCATTTATTTTAAACTTATTCCATAATTTTTTGGAAACCTCAGTGGTGAAGGGAAAGAGTGAAATGCAGGTTTAATTAGAATTTTATTATAGCTATGTACAGTAATTTCTAAAACTAGATGCATGACTTGATACCGGAGGGGCGGAGAAGCTGACAACGCAAGTAATCTCTCAATATCCCCTCCTCGAGTTTTTCGCAATCATAAAATAATTATAATAAGCGTGCACACACTCACATCACACACTCATGCAGTAAAATATTCAAACGAGTGCAATTCACGAGAAAAGATAACATAGAAGTAAACAACGCAGGCGATGAGATTTTCCCGCTGAGAATAGCAAAGTCAGGAGTTGATTTCTAAGAGAACAAGTTAGGCTGTGTGTCTGCTGTAGAAAAAAAAGAGTGCCTTCGCTAGAAATAATATCAAGAAGAATATCCATGTAAGTAACTAACTGAAATTTTCATGAGTTGGAACTTCGAGATAAAAATAAAACTTCTTGGGAAGACATATGAGCCAAAACTAATATCGCGAACTCTAACAACGTCATAAAAAATACTCTTGTACTCTCTCAAAAAATTACGATAAAACATATACTCAGTTTGGAACAAAAATACTTCATTTTAATTCACAAGACCTATGACAACGAGACTCAAAATCCAGAAGGAAAATATCTCTAAATTGGAGCTAACGGCATCAACCGTTGAGTGAGAGCAAAAAAAAAAAAAAAATGGGGTACAGAATTTCAGTCCAAGCGGTATTTGCCCATCTAATAACTAACAATCCTTTACGTTTCAACTGAAATCGGTACAAAAATGAGAATTCTAACGAGTGGTCTTAATCTATATTTGGTAGCATTGGTGACAGGCGTTCAAGAGGAAGCTTCTCATATCTGCCAGAGTGACGTATCTAACATACGGCCTATAGAGCAACGGTTCAGTTAAGGTCTATGAGATCTTGGAACTTTGACGCCAAGAACAGATGACCACATGGAGGCTCCGTTGTTCAATTATTATAGCTCATGAACGACACAATTCATAAGGAAAAAAGCTCAGAAGAGTGATTTGACGTAGATCTTGAAAAGTTAAATTATTCCAATTGTTAATTCTATTTTTTATTTATTCGATTGAATTTGAAAATAACTACGACAGAAACAAATCTACGACACGAGGAGCACACAGCATTTGTACATGCAGTGAAACATCAACAGGTGTAGTAGGAGTGACTAATTAAATGTAAATCCCTGATCCCAAGGAATATCCTCAATTAGGGGGATCTAAATTAAAGTGGGGGAACTCTTGGAAAGACTTAGAAAAAAGTACATAGAATTTGAAACGAACGAGATGAAATTATTCTCTAGGTACCCTAACTACAACGCAGACGTACACAGTACACACGACTGGACCTAAGCACACACACAACGAATATCTCCTAACAATTACATATAAATTTGGTCGGCTGAGGTAAACTGTTAAAGTTCTAGATGGTAATAAATACACGTATAGAACAGATAGAGTAGAATCGTCACACTAATTCCAATTTCAGACATGCAACTATTGTCACAATAAGCTAAATTAGAAACCAGTGAAGCAAGAATGGAAAAAAATTATGTTCTCTAATCTCGTTCTTCAAGATATCATTGTAATCATCTACGCTTCAATATTTCAAATTATATAGATAAATAAAGAGATAAATTTCGGTTTGAGACAAGAATACACGTAAAGACTTCCCCGAAAAATTGTTACTGATGCAAAAAAAAAAAAAAACTCTACAGCTTTATGAAAATTAGGAAGTAGGTACTTAGCACAAAATGTTCAATAATACTGGAGTTTTGATACGCCAAAAAGAAAATGCATTACAATTAGAGTAAAAAATTTTGTAACTTTAAAAACCTTCCTACACTAAATAACAAATTAACAGCAAAAAGAGTTATTAAGAATGCTATTCTCGGCAATCCTAATTCCTATTAGCGTTCAATGTTAGGCGCGCTCAGTGCATCCTATAAAGCACATATATGGTAATATGACAGTGACGTGAGTGGAACTCAACTTAAAAATAGGGTACTGAAGTTCTGCGTGAACATGTGGCGGCTATAATGGAGGCCATATAGAAGCTCCTGACAATGTCATTTATCGAGTGCTTGACGTAAAAAGTGATGAGCGAAACAAAAATACGCGTGTACATGAGACGACAGGCTTCCATTACAGACCATCTCAAGGAATATTGATTAAATGAAGAACCTATTCTCTCTACGATATATATTATCAAGACAATCATTAAAATATTAATATATAGCATTAATGTAAGATAATAATGCAAAATTATAAACTCAAATCACTAATGAGACGCACAAGCGAGGCTTCACAAAGCCATGCTCGAGCAAGTGACGATTTTACAACGTCATCTTGACAATTTCCAGACGCGTCGAAGCCAGGAACGCAAGGCTGCTACAAACAACTTCCTTGGCATTACTAAAGACAAATGGCAGTAAATTTAGCTACTAAATGCACAGGCGATTCACAATCTCAATAAAAACATTGTTACACCCTGTACGTCAAGCGACATGGCAGACGGATGTTCGTGGAAAGTAAAACGTCCTTGCGCTGTTGGTTCAAACATCAAAGATTTGTAAGCTACAGCTATAACTGGGACGTACACAAAAGGCTGCCGTGCAAGCCATATCTGACACACTGAAATCAATTAAATTGTATGTGTACACACGCATTACATATCAGATAAAGTATATAGGAAAAGAGGCCAGCATGGCATCGTCGAGCAGTCGACTGCGAAGTTCATGGTGGGTTCAGACAATTGGAATGGAGGCAGAAAATGAAATAAATCAATCCACCTTCGAGTCAGCAAACCCGGAAAATATGCGACTTTCTTATAAATCAATTCTTGGTAACTGCTCGCCGAACCGTGCCAGCGCTTCTTTCCTTAGTCTAAAGAACTACAAAACAAATAAACCCAAAATATAAAGCCATCCATGAAAACATTTGGTTCGTCACTGAGTGCAGTTTGTAGGACACATAGGCAAGTGAGACTGCCAAGATGAGCATATATACTTACCGACGTTTCAAGATTCACTAAGAAGTTTCGATCTCATTCAGTTTGTGGTTACGTGAGATGTGCACATGTCTACGACAGTTTCAATACAGTGACATTTTGTGATCAAATTTAATTCGAAATTCGTTTCCTGCATAAATTGAAACATGACGATTCATAAAACAATAAAAAGAACATAGATGTTTCGAAATACCTCGAGGAGTTTGCATCAGGAATTATAATTTTACAAACAAAACGTTCAACATGAATGCATAAAATCGATTTGCAGCAGATGTATACTGCTTACCATAATTGTAGGTAATAGAAAAAAATGGAAACACCAATAAACAACAATAAAATAAATAGACATGACAAAAATATGAAAGAATTGAAAGGAGAGATGCTCGTCTCCTGCAGACAATTTTACGGAGATGGGACAAGACTCGAGGACAGAGGCGCGAGGGGCGGGGGGCGGGGGAGACGTGGTGGAGGGCTGGCTGTGGTTGTTGTGGGTGCCACGGGCGCAGCTGCCCTGAGACGCTCAACATCGCCACGCTCTCTGCATTTCTTCTTTTAACTGAAAAACAAAGATTGTATTAAAACGATATTCAATCGACGTTTTATCGTCGCAGATATAATTTTTCGAGAACCATTGCTACTTTTGATTACACACGGAAATTATATCAAAGCAGATACTTGTCAAAATTGTATAAGTAAACGGCATCCTAGTAAATCGTACTTCAACAGATGAACGTTTTTCAGCAGATGGTAACACGGTCACTCGAACCTCTACAGATGGCAGCCTGCCTATACGCACCTCTACAGATGGCAGCAAGGTTGGTGAAGGTCTGCCAGCTACACAGCAAATGAATGGGAGCGCACAAGAGGCTTGCGTTTGACAGGCCTCTCTGCGTTGAAGTTGAAGAAACTGTTGTTGTTGTTGTTTGTGTTGCCGCAATATGACACCTCGCAGTAGTGGATGGTGTGGTGCAGCACGGGATGATATGCGATCTTCTTCCGCGGTATAGGGGAGAATTGGACCTGTCGAGAACAGCAATGGTAGAGACAATTCTTGAAGCCTGAGTGATATCGGTTGTTATCCAGGGTGAGTGGCATAGATATTAATTGACGAAAACAGCTAAGTCATACTTTAATCTAGTAAATGAATACCGGTGGGTCTACGTGTTGAATTTACATTAAATAATTTTATTAGTATATTTGTACCTGATAAATCAAAAGTTTGTTAGCACAGGAAACTGAAACTAGAGCAAAATCAAAAGTAGTAGAAGGGACAGCAATTTAGATCATTAATGAGAGGACGCTAGGGTAGAGAACTTAAACATGGATTCAAATTAAGGAATAAAGGGTAAAAAAGAGACGTAGAGGTAAAGTCAGAAGCAAGGGCAATGAGAGGACCAAGTGCCGGTAGGGTACCACCTCCTCTCACCATATTGGTACCAACTTTTTGGTATGAGATATCGAGGTATTGGATCTCCTGACAGGGCAGCGTGACCTCGAGGGGCCTCTTGACGGAGGACCTCTTGAGCGTCGACAGCGCCGGCAGCGACGACGACGCGCCAAGAGGCACGGCGCCCCGACGAGCGAACCTGTGGGCATGAGGAGGGCATGACAGGACGAAGAACGGTGCCTTGGTAATGATCATTCATGGTACGCAAAATATTATGTGTTGATCTGTTCCCAATGTCGCCTCAATATCAGTAATGGAAAGATACTCGAATGTTTATTCCCAGACGTAACTTCGAGACCTACACCCAAGACGGCGCTCGCATTTAGCAAACAAATTTGTCTGGTTGATGTATTAACTAAGCTGTAATTTTTGGAATTGATGAACAACATTGAATGTATAATTTTATTAATTAGATTCGCTCCAAATGAATTGCCTTTCCTGTACGTAAACTCTCAGCAGAACAAGAAAATACACAAAAATTATCGTTTCCATAACGACTGTAATCTGACCTGACGTTGCCGCTGCCTCTGCCGTCGTCACCGACGCCCTCTGCGGCGGTGACGTTCGTCGTGTGGTGGTCGGGGTCGCCGACGCGATTGTTGTTGTTGTTGCTGACGTTGCAGGCGTCGGCGAGGACGCTCTTGTCGGGGCAGTCGGGCAGGTTGCCGTTCTCGTCATTTCTGTCCGAGGAAATACGAGAAAAGTTTATACAAATTATGTGCAATATGTCGAGTACAAATTTTAGCGAAAAACCTTTAATTTTCTCGTCGATCAAGCATAATTCGTTACTTATCTCGAAGTATAAAACCATACCTACATGACATTCGAAATCAGTGTTATTTATTACTGGATCGATTCTGGGCAAAAAATGAGAATGATCAAAATTTTCCATGGAGTTTTCCTAGGAGAATCTAATTAAAAATATTTTATCCACAAGGATCGAAATATGATGGTGATTTGCTGATGATATTATTTTTATAACAAAATTGTCAACAATAAATACATATTTATAAATGTTGCAAGATTTGTATACAATTTATACGTTATTCTAGAGTAGATGCAAGTCATAAAAGCATCTACAGATCCTGAAGTCATTTTTTAAATGTTTGGTCTGATGTGATTTGGCTGATCAATCCCAAGTGGTTGTTTATTGCTTGATTTTTTACGCTTAATCACAATTTATTACTAAATGACTTTTTGGCAGTTATCTCAAACATATACAAGCAGCGGAAAAAAGCTTTATTGCAAGCAGCGGTGGGCGTGTGGGACGGGAGAAAGCGGCGTCACAGGTGTGCTGCAGGACACCTGCTGCTGCTGCGGGTGCGGCGGACACCTGCTGGGGCCATACTTTCAAAACTCGCTAAGTGACCGTAAGTACTTACGCTCTATTTTCTAGTCTTATGATTGGTGGATTTGGCTTGAAAGGCCGTCAATGATTGGCTGATGAACTTACGATCTCTTAACTTTTTTTGAAAGTATGGGCCCTGACGATCAGTGCTACGCTGGATGAACCTACACACAGTTCGACTTATTTTGCAACAGATATGTAAACACTTCAATATTAGTTGAAACGCCGAAAGGCATTAACTCCTTTGTAGAAACGCACATCAACGAAGTTACTAGGTTTAAACGCACGCATACACCCTGTTTGAAGCATTAAAAGCACACCTTGTGTTAAACTTCGAAACCCTTTTTCACAGAGGTGGGAACACCGGCAAACAGATATAAACTTTTTGCAATACCAACACACACTTTACCCTGATAGCACCGAAAATTTTCTCGCGGTTGAAACGCCTGCACATTCCCTTCTCAAATGTAGAAATGTCGAAACAAAATTAAAATGTATGAAAGTCATACAAACTTCAACCATGGATGAATTAATGCACACTTTAATTATATATGAACCCCAGTTGCACTCTAACCACGAATAAATCCGTTCTTTATTTGTACAAGGAACTGAAACCTCCAAGAAAATCATGGCAAAACAAAGCTCTTACGGCACCAACATGAAAACCGATGCTCTAAAAAGATTCAGGCATCTACGTTTTCGAGGATGTGAAAAAACGTTCTCAGTGCGATACTGCAACTGAGATGAATGAGCCCGCACAAAAAACTTATTCGGGGTATTGTAAAATTACCGTATAAATCACAGGCAAGAAGTGAAGCAGCATTTCGTCACGAAGCAGCATGCAAGCACTCTTCAACTTCATAGACACAAACCTTTTCCTACAAACACAATATCCACAAAACGCGATCCGTGCACCTAATGAATGAAAGAGCTATTCGATCCAGATTCAGTTCATGGGACCTTTTCTGCATCGCTGATCTCTAGTTACCCAGCTAAGGTAGTCATAAGTAAATTTAGCGAGTTTTATTCGAAATTATTTATAGTGAAGAATATTTTCTTTGCATACATCTCCTAAAATTTTTAATAAATATGAACTTAGAGGAAGTAGAGCGATATTTTGCGAAATAAAAACGACCGAAACCCGGTGACACTTCATTATAAGTAACGTCTTTGTGTGGAGATATCCGCTTACGCGAGGTAGGCGGAAATTCCACGGCACCCACATCACCGAGGCTGCATGGACCGCCAAAAAATCCTATCAGCAGAGCGGCAGAAAGTGAGCGGACGTCGTAAACTTTTGTATCAGATCGAAAAGAAACAAAAAAGTGTGATCGCGGCCGCTGAATCAAATAAGTTAGGAATATGGCATACCATGCTCGGTGCACAAGTTGGGCTAATATTATAGTATTTTCGTTGACAAGGTCAAGCTTATATTATATTATGCTTGGTGCACTAAGTTGGGTATTTATTCTATTAAAACTAGTGCACCATGATCAAGCGGTAGGCAACAACAGAAAGCACAAACGTGAGCAGGGCTTCAAAATAAATTATCACAAGCGAAACTGTCAGGAAATATAAACCGATCTCCATGCTATCAGACACGTTCTTTCGGCATTTCTCTTGAATGAGATTTAATGGTGGTTTTCTCTATTTACGCAACCAAATAATTCTTTTTTAACACACGGAATAATTTGTTTTAGTGTACGTAGATTGCGCGTGTATAGGATATACACGCCGCACTTAGGCGCTCAGCAAGCAATGGACACGAAGTCTCGTCGCGCACATGACACTTATTGCCAGGGAATAAGAGACGCTCAACTCGAGCACTGAATTAAAAGAGCCAAAGTGAGAGACCATTGATATAAACACCAGATAAAATAAGGCTGTAATGTCAGGTGGCTGGCGACGCCGCAGTCCTTGACGTTCGCTTCTTGTTGGCATTTTTAAGGGCAACTTTTCTATCCAGATTTTTGCGTCATAAACATCCACGATGCATCACAGGGTTTGCATTCAAGCTGAGAATGATCAACACACTTGAAGATAGTCCATAGCAGGTAACGTCTTCCATAAGGACGAATTAGTCCGGGGCTGGAGATGCATAATCAGAGAAGAAATGAACCACGACAAATGAGGAACTTCTTGAACGCAATAAATAGAACGCAAGGATTCAGATGTGCATTGACTCAATAATTTGCGCGAGATATTTCTAGGTGAAAGAAACAAAAGAAAATTCGAAAATCTGAGGGAAATGAACGGTAATTGATGCTGCATCAATTGTATCTGGGTTAATTTACGACCCATCGAAAGTTTAATTCGAATTACTGATTATTTAAGACAGCTCTAGGTATTGAGCATCGTGCATCCATACGACTTATTTACCAGCAATACATTTGAAGGACGTCAGCATCTCAAGTAGGAAGGTTGAAAAGAACATACGAAAGGTTTTGGTGAAAATAAATGATCCTAGAGTACAGAAAAACATCACTGAGCCTGATTTACATACCCAAACGCAGGACCGCGTTGGCGTGACGGTTAGGCAAAAAATTGGGCAGAGGCTAGATGCGAAAGGGTCCAAAATCGTTCTACTCTAAATAAACAATTTGAAAGAATTGTTGAATTAAATGAATAAGCAATAAAATTAATGCATCAAATCCGTACAGTGGTAAATATTCGATTTTGAAGTCAAAACTCATTTCGTAAAACTTCTTTCAGTTCAAGCAATAAAAAACGAAAATTTTATCGATATGTGTAAAATCTAAAATCAATGTGACCAATTAGGAAAGTTTCTCTTCTAGCGCATGCACCATAAACGTTCGAATTTAATAACATCAAATCCAATGGTACTAATAGGAAATCCTATAGAAATTATTATCGAATGCTGAACGGCCTTCAAGCAAGGATCTAAAATTGCGCTCGCATTCAATTTTTTGCTGCAGCAGCCCTAATGTAAGGTCCTAAGCACGTAATTGTGAGTGAGAAGGGCGCTTGCAAGCACATTGAAATTTTTATGTGCGATTCTAAACAGAGAGAATAAGAACCCAGAACAACGTTCAAGCATTTTTTTTGCGAGATGCAACGCATGTTTTCCGGTTGCCAGAAAGACTAGCTATAACATAGAATGAGTCATAAACAGGTTAGAGTACATAGTACAGATCAGATGGTGATTTATGGGTGTTTCAGGCCTTTATAGAGTAAAACATAATCCTGATTCTGCCGATATGGAATATTGATGTAAATTTAAAAGGGCTCAGCAACGAAGCATATATGTCCCAGCCGTGTTGCTATATACACGTTTCCGCCGTGGGTCACCAAGTGAATGGGTCGTAGGCGGGTCAGGACCTCTACCGTCCACACCCATCATCACACCCACGGCCTGTCCACACCCCGCGCCTCACTCCGTATTGCCTCTTATGCCGATAAGAGACAATTGAAAGACATGCAGGTAGTTTTCCTTTCTTATATCAAATTATTTAATGTGTCTTTATTAACAACTGTTTAAAAGAAATTTTTCGATAAAGTAAGAATACAGTGAGATATACACACTGATACAATGATAGTAATATGAGCAACGCAATAACGAGTTTGTACAAGGACGTAAAAAAACTAAAAAGATACGCACAAAAAAAGTTGCTGAAGCTATGAGGAAATTTTAACCAAGGAACAGAAAGTGTACCACTCAACAACAGTTGCTGTATAAGAATATCCCTTGACTTGAATCGAGCTAGTTTACCCTTTAAATTTACTCAAGTGTTTCCAAAGAAATCACATTGCACGAGTCCATCAAAATCAGTCCTGCTACAATGAGGAGAAATTGTGAAGAGGAGTCGCCTCACTAATGATAAAATGAATACAGGCAAAGAATATGAATGAATGAATAATACAGGCAAAGGCCTCATGCAGACTAGCACATCTCGCCGAGTCCATGTACTGAAACATCATGCAACTTAAGTATGAAATTAATCAGCGTCGTTCAAGTGAGATATTGCTTAATTGTTTAGAAAGTTTGAGATTAAATAATCAATACAAGACGAATGCTTGAGCCTCCAATTCGCAATTATGATAATAGGCATTATGATTCAAGATAATGTTCAGAAACACACTTGAAGCTCTCCAGCTGCGCGCAAAGCTCCAACATGAATTAGCGAACAAAGAAATAGCCGCCCTCCCCACCCCCTTGTCATGTTATATTAAAAGTCACTACAGCTAAGTTGTTCGCTTCTAAATGTTCGTATTTAGACAGGACATTCACTTAGACTGTTCAGTATAAAATCTCCTGACACAGCGGTAATTTACTTCATTTTGTTTGGGCTGATTAAATTCACTCATATTTTAGAACTATTAGGAAGTAAATTGAAACATCAAGTAGAAACTTTCAAGATAACCCTGCGTGTTCAATAACCCTGTGTTCTGCATCTAGACTTAATGGAGAACTCAGCGTAGAACAAGTTTGACCTTAAGACGACCTCAGTGCGAGCGTGACACCTGTGCAGCGCGTACACCTGTTCATTGAGAGATAGTAAATACGCTAGTTCAGTACAGCTCAATTACTGCCACTATTGCTCATGATGCGCGCTCTCTCTTACTGCGCAGCATTTCTCTGATCTTCTCTCTATTCTTTACCTCTCTATTCGTCTCATTTATTCAGACACGTGATCAGTTGATTTTTACTAAATTTAACTAAAAACAAATTCGTTTCACCAAAAACTTGATAGACTAGCACGTTCAGTTCATTCAAAGGGGACGAGATTCATCCATGTATCCATTTATAAATAGAGCAATAAAAAGGCACACAACCTTGTTTATACAATCTGTGGACTAATTAATAATAATTTTTTAGTTTTGGTATATTTTCTTAATCTCAAGTCTCATCTCATCGAATAATAATAGCGCAGGGGCCGGTAAATAACTAGCGGAATGTATATATACGGTCCGTGTTAGGACCTCTATGTAGGTAGTTAAGTTAGCACCCGAAATTATACGCCAGTCATAATAATGTGCGATAAATAATTAATCATTGCAAACATGTGGACTTCGTGTCTCTAATTTTCACTGAAGATGATATTTTTAAGTTTATAATAGCCCCGGTGTGGTGCTGAACTCACTGAGGTTTTCTCTTAATATAATGTGCGATAAATAATTAATCATTGCAAACAGGTGGTCTTCGTGTTTCTAATCTTCACTGAAGATCATATTTTTAAGTTTAGAATAGCCCCGTTCTGGTGCTGAACTCACTGAGGTTTTCTCTTAATATAATGTGCGATAAATAATTAATCATTGCAAACATGTGGTCTTCGTGTTTCTAATCTTCACTGAAAATTATCTTTTTAAGTTTAGAATAGCCCCGGTGTGGTGCTGAACTCACTGAGGTTTTCTCTTGGCGTTCTCAGGGTCAGAGTCAGCAGGTCTACAGAGGCCGTCATCGTCGTCCTTGTTGGTGAAGTCGAGGCAGCAGGCGGCGCGTAGGTTGCGACCCATCGACATGTCCCCAGGCCGAGCTGCCCACAAAATAATATATTGCATTATTATCATATTTTATGAACAGAACTTGGTATCAATTGATAAGGTAACATTATATAAACAATAGAACTAAATATGAAATCATAAACAATCAGTCGTACTATATTTAACGTCAATTCAGCAAGAATCATCATGTTATTTAAAATATCTTGTTTTATAACAACTTGAATTTAAGGAAAAAAATACATGTTCAAATGAAAACTAATACGGTACCGTAAATTGATTTTATATAGCTATTTATTCTGAATCATTATGATTCAAAAAGATAATTTTACTTATTTGTTAATCTCTCGCTACAAATTCAGCACATTTTATTATTCAATTTTTCAAGCGACAGCATTCAAGTCAAAGCGACGAGAACCGCTATTCCACAGAGCGAGATGAGTCACAATCACATATGCGGTCATAATTTTAAGTAAAGCCTATAATCCAAAAGCTTCATTAGATCTGGTAATTTTATATCAAAGCTGCGGTTGTTTTATTTCAATATCCCAACACGGAATTAGCAGTTCAAATGGAAATATCAATAATTAAGGAAAACAAATTTTCCTTTTCTATTTCGTTTAACGCTTCATGCAGTTCACATTTCTTGGACAGAAGATCCATCAGCTCCCTTTCTATTCATAATTTCTAGAAGACACTATTGACCACTTTGCTCTTGTAGGTTCTATCCAAATTAAATCGTCAACACAACCGCTGCACGTGGCTCGTCCGGAAATTACCACGTACGAAATTAATTATAAGATAGAAAATATCTCAAGTGTCGTATCCGATTTATGAGAACGAACCTCCATCGTCGGTGCAGATCATGACTCATGACATAAGAAGAGCCTGCACGAGCTACCACTGTGACTAATGCAAAAATGTTTTCATTTACTATAAGGTCCGACCACTGCATATGGTATGTTGCCTGTGTAATAGCCAAACGAGGAACACAAGTCATCAACCTGATGAAATTTACCGCATCTACATGCTACAGTATTTTTAGAGATACTTCATCATTTCAGTTAAAAACCTCCATCTAATAAGTTACATTGGCAATATGCGAAGCGCCAACATAAGCATGCTATAGGATTTATAGTTGTGCTGCCGCATTTAAAAAAAGGAAAAGAGTGCAAAATGACTAGACATGACAAATGACTTTCAGGCAAAATGACTAGACAAGCTCGATTTTCTTCTCTTTTTTTTGCGGGTTTTCATATAGTTACATGTCGGTACAGTCGTTTAGCTACACAGTATTAAAATTGGAAATAATAGAACTGCATCCGATCAAAATTTAACTGTGATTGCATGATAGTTAATGGCACAAAATTCCGAATTTACGTTATCGAAAATTTCCCAATTTGTCACATATTTGGGCTAACTGTCACTTAATGATAACCTATCTTTAAAAACTTTAGAAGCATTAATGAAAATTGTCAAGCTGCTAAACTATTATTGTTCAATAGAATAATATAGATTTGAATAATAAAACTTAACAGAATCTTGCACCAAGTTCAGGGAAACACCGGAGGATATAAGTTCACACGAGGAGCGTCGGGACAGAACTGTCTGAATCCTCGGCCCAGCGCCCGCAGCGTCTGTCAGTTGTTAACGCGGGCCCGCGTGTCAACCGCCACTGTCTCGATGACTGAGGACGGCAGCGACTACAGACAGAAGCTGGCAAGACTGTCAATCGTGAGCTGGGTATGTTCAGGCAGGTTTGCTGAGAATTCAACCGCAAAAAATAACTAATAATTAATTATTCTTTGTACTTAACGCGGTTGTCATTTGATTATTTTATTTTCGGGCGAACTATGAAGGAAATCAGGATAGACGCAAAAATATTAAAGGTAAGAAGAAAATTCAAATGAAGGTGAAAATTTTTCCTGAAACAGCAAGATCGGCGTCACTCTTCTTTAAGATAACAGTTTTTAAGATGGTAGAACTCTTGTGCCTATAAAATATTAATAAAGTATGAAGGCTTTCTAAAAAAATGGAAGAAAAAGCCAGAGGCTGGTGGAGAGTAGCACTGCGGAGGGCAGCCGCAAGTCGGAACCATGAATACGAGAATCGCACGCTCCAACCTCGGTAAATAACTGTTGCCCCTTCTCCGTCTCATCGTAACCTGCCCCTCCTCCCTTCCTCCTCCTCACTCCTACCCCAGGAATAACGAGCAAAAAGGGAGCCGCGCGAGAAAGGAAGAGGAATTTGTCGGGCGTTGGGAAGTAGCAGCCTGTTCTTCCTCTTATCAGAGTGGAAGCAAGAATTCTTGCTGAAAAGGTGAATAAAAAACATTACGAGTAATAAATTGCGCCCATGCCAAGTTTGATAAGGAAATTTACAGATTTCGAGTGTACTCAATGATTTAAAACTATAAGTCATTAGTGAATTATTGTTTAAAACTACATGATGTTTGATCAATACAGTAACTATGGCAGCAACGGTCATGTATAACAAGCGTGGAGCGTCTGTGCGAGGGTAGGGGCTCGGCGCGTTCATGAAGATGGAGGCGAAACTATCTCAAACCAAGAAGAATTTGAAGGCGTGTCAAAGGAAAATAAGCCATGACAAACGAGGTCCAGCACGGCCAGTACATTGAGCGAGCTGAAGAGTTCAGACGAGACTCAACTTCTTTGTGAGACTTCTATGCGTTCGTAAGAAAGGGACTGAGCGTTCCACAGCAACCCTAGTCTTGGGCAATCCATTGGCTTCCAAAAAGGAAGCATTCATGCAGTGAACTACTTTAATACTACAGCATCTGTCGGTGAGTATGAAAAAGTAACCAGAAATGCATGCCAATAAATTCATTTAGAAAAAGCTTTATGCATTCATGTATGAATGATCATAAAGCTAACTTAAACTCAGGCACATAATACTGATAGATGAGTCTCATCTTTTGAACGGAACGTACTGAAATCGAGTGGGAAAAAGGAAACAAGGATTGCAGCGCACAGAAGCCGAGAGGCTGCACACAATCTCGTATTGATTTCTTGGAAGGAGACGGCAGCGGTCTTGAGACGTTGCCAAGCTGGAGGAACCAGCAACCAAAAAGCAGTTGAAACTGGAAACCGCAGTACCAATCGATTTTAGAATCCAAAAGTAAGGTTTGGAATTAGCATACTGTACAGTCATCATATATTAATTTTGCAACTGGTGAAAAATCATTTGAAAATGAGAAATAAATTATTCATTTGCTGGCTGCAGCCATTGTAACAGCAGAAACGCAGGCGGATTCATGGTACTGCACATGCGTTGAAAGTGCAGGCATGGAGGCACGCCAAGCATGCGGTACGGCGCACCAAAAAAAAAACGGCTATTGAATTACGTAGAGCAAATTGCGCAGTCAGTGTGAGAGCTTCCCAGCTTTGAATGATGACATTCCAGGGCAGCAGCTTCCATCTTTTATTCCTATGTTAATGCGAGCACACGATAATGCGCGCAAAAAACACCATTGGTTCCGGACGAGCAGCTGTCAGTGCGAGGGGGAGACCCCACCAGTCAAAACAAAGAAAACTTGCACAAGTGAAAGAATATCGCAAATATAATAACAAGTTATGAAGTGCATATGAACAGACGGGGAAAAATGACACAGAGGCGCCGACTGAAATTTCTGCATCGTGAAGCCATGCTCCAAGTTGATATCGAGTATCTAGATGAAATTTACATTTTAAATGGACATTTCAAGGCACTGCACACTTCCTGAATGGAATCTTTTTTTCAGACCCTCACTCGAAAACTGGAAGAATGCAAAGCTCGTCCAGACGAAGGGACAGAAAAAACACGATGACAACGTGCGTTTTAAAAAGAAATTTAGGGAAAAACTTCTTTCATTCGTTCAATCATTTTCTCAAAAATTTTGAACAATGGTAGAAAACTCGCACACGGTAAGAGCAGCCAGCAAAGAGAATACATAACAGTAACTACTTTATGCAGAAAATAGATTAAAAAAGTACAAACAATGGCAAGCCTTCCATGTAAACTTAAATAATAGTTTTATTAAAAAGTAGGAAAACCTTCGAATACTAATGGGTTTTTAAAAGTAGAGACCCGAATAGGAAGCATCGGGGGCTGTGCGGCGTACGGGCGGCGTGGGAATGTCGGCCGTTACAGCCGCGCCCTCCTCTGCCGTCCTAACTTCTCTTGTCAGGCGATGAGGTGGATTCGCCCACAGCTCTGGTCCAGTTCACGCACCAAATTAACTACCATCGTTGATAATTATAAGAAATTAATAATTGCTGTACAGATAATTATAAGAATATAATAATTATTGTGCAGTAGACTTAAAGTAAATTGTCCATTTCCGTTAATCATGGTGTGTGCCATATGTATTACAAAATGAATAAAGAGTAATCAGAGAATGTGCACGTTTTTGGTCAAGTACTCTCGCAAATTCAAGTCGTGAGATTCAAGTAAGTAAATTTAAAATTGGACGTTGCTGATTTGCTTCGCTCTGATTCACAAAATTCGCTTCAATTAATACGTATATTTTTTGTGAAACTCTTCTCAATCCCAGAGCAAAAGCAGACTCCTGCCATTCATCTCGTGGCCTGTCAGCAGTCGTATCACGTGGCAGTAATTTCGCGACGCATGAGCAGCAGACCTACACAGCTTCAGACCGGCCTATTTCACAGGTCAGAGCACAACTTAGCAATGTACAGAAGACGCAATTTTCGTGCGGGTTCCAATTAGAAGGAAAATCACAAGCTGGCGCAATATTCCTCGAATAAATAAATTAACATATTCCCAAAAAGTTTTTGAGTCCGGTTTGTCGTTTTGAATGTTAACTAAGCAGCTCAATGTAATGATTCACATATATTACATATTTAAGAGAATCTATACTCGGATCAACTCTAGGTACTGAACACCCGGCAATGCCGAAATAAACTGAAGCGACACAAAAAATGTCGCCAATATCCTGTGGTTAATATAGAAGACAGTAAAATAAAGGGGCCGATAAGCACTGGCACAGATCCGCTTATGCGGGAGTCCGGATGCA